TACCTGACTGAAGATTGTGGACTGATATGGAAAACCTTAGAATTGAAAGAGGACACATTTTCCTTTTACCAGTGTGGAGATACAGAAATTCTTTTATTGCTGCCATATAATCTGCATCATTATAACTGCATTAATAACATTCTTTACAGCATTAGTTCACCTAATAATATTTCTCACAGTCTTGATACTGCATTACAGTTGTTTATTGAAGATGTCCATTTGAGGAAGTATTTTATACACATTGCATATCTGTGCCTATTTTGAGTTGATGTTCAGTTCATTAAGGGTTTTAAGCTTCACTGGCATGACTGTCCAGGTGATACATGCTGAGGGAAACTAGAACATAGAAGGATAACTGCAATGCATGCTTACAGTACATATAATACATATAATCTAGGAATAGGCCTGAGCAGAGGCCCAAATGTTTCCAGCTTCTTGTTGCAAACCTGTTGCATTTTATTCTACTTGGTAACAGATGAGCAGAGTCAGGAATTAGCCTCAGAGACCCTGAGGGCTTAAGATTATTACCTTGTATGGAAGGTGTTATCAAAATGAGAAGTTCTATGTCTGTTTATAGCTATTAAAGATGTACAAGATGTATGATTAACTGTGACTAAGGTCTGGAACCTATTTTAATCTGTCATTGACGGCATGGGGGGGCGTGTACCCCACTGCTTTATAAGTGTCCACAACATGTATTTTGGTCAGAAGACATATGTTGATGTTTTCTCCCGGCTGTTAATAAACTCAACGTTTGATTGCACTTTTCTGGGGCCTCCGTGGTTTGTGACACTGCTCTACATTGATCGATTTCGCAACACCAGGACTTTTTTTAATCATACAATATGTTGTTAAGTTATCGAGATGTTTTCATTGCTGAACCCCTGCTTTTAAACCTAGTTATTTGTGTCATGGATGTGGCGAGCTCTGAGGTTACATGAATACTAATGTCACACTGAATGATTTGTGATCCTGTTCTTCAAATGATTCAGTAGTAAATGAGCTTTTGTGCTTTACAAAGAATTTTCCTGCCACTCATTCAGATGTACAGAGATTATTTTGTCACAATTCAATAAGACTGAAATAAAACTATTAAATAGCAGACAGACAAAATTAGCATACTGGACTGCTTACTGGCTTTGTGTGTGCAATAAATATAGCTAAAATCTTCTATTCTTACCTCTACCATCAGAGAGATGGTTGTACCACAGGAGAACTGTCCCAGCAGTAGGTTTAATTCTCAGATTCCCTCTGCTACACGTCTCCTGGGTGTCTGTTAAATCACCTCCATCCTGGACAAGTGCCTAGGACATGAGAAAAAAAACTGTAAACAGCTTTTGTCTAATAAGTCTAGTAAGTGTCAGATTTCTTTCCATGGCTCATCATCTCTCTGAATTATCATATGTAGGTTTTAAACACAGTGGAAAAAGTAAGGTACAATATGAAGGGACACTCACCTGCTCCTCATAGGTGCGATTGTCTGCCACAGGAAAGGTGGATTCACCACCTTCTTCTACAGAGGTGAGGTAGAATAAAACTGTAAGATACCTGGAATAAAATAAGAAAGGAAGCAAAAAATGGAGATGCAAAGAATGGGGCAAAAAAAGGGGTTTCCCCCCTATGAAAGGGGACATTGTTCTGTTACACAAATACAATTAAAGTGTCTGACAACAACCTGTTAATAAAAGTGAATTTTAAAAGTACTTTCTAAAAAAAAAGTTACATTATATTACAACAGAAGAGATGCATACCGGCAAGGGACCTCGGTGAGAGCAGATGTGTTTCCTGCCAATCGTGTATGCGCACAAGTTGTCTCTGAGTTGGAAGGGCTGCTGTCATAGTGTGAATTACTAAAGTCTCCATGTTCATAGCGAATGACCTGCAGTGGTTCGCTCAATTCAACTAATGCAGAGGGCAGACGTGTCAGACTGGTTACTCTGTGTAAAAGTAAAAGAAAAATTTAAAAAACAATAACACATCGTAAGACTTCAGATACAGGAGTGTGAATGAATAACGCCACAATAAAGCACGCGTGTGTGTGGATAGTGACCTGTTCCTGAGTGCGCGCAGCACATGGTGAGATCCTGGGCCTTGGAAAAGCCAGGTATGCTTGCTCCTTTGTTTGAACTGACTATGAAGCTTCCCACTTTTCTCTTGTCCTGGATGCTGGGATACATCATAAACATGCCTAAAATCCCCCAATGTCAGCATCCCTGCCAGACATACACATAAGTAAGAAGAAACCAGTCTTTCAGTTAAGCAGTGTCATGATTTCAGTTTCAGTATGATTTATGTTTGAATTCTACTAGAGGAAACAGTAAACTATAACAGCCTCCATTCTTTCTTTTCTTCAATTCCTTTTGCCTCTATCTGTAAAAATATGCTTTTACTCTCAGCAAAAATGATTGTCTGGTCCCCATCAGTTCCCCTGGGAGACAGTGTCCCAGCCACAACAATAGCTCCAGGGTGCCAGAGGAGAGATGGCCAGGGAAGGGGGGTGGGTTGGTAAACCAAAAAGTGTGGAGGAGGGAGAGGGGGGATACAGGGTATCCGGGGGAAAATTAAGAAAAGGGGTTGGAGAATAATTGGTTTTTAATGAGATGGGACGAGGCACATCCGGACTGGGACGTGTAGAACGCCTGGCACAATGCTATCAGGTCAAAAGGGTGTCACTCTTCTTCCTGCCTTGCCACTCACAGACTCGCACGCAATCACAGCCACCAGTGAGCAGTTAACTCCATTCTTACCAGTACACAGCCACTGCAGAAGCACTCACACACAACTGAAGGAGACTAGCCTAGTATTTACACACTTGAATTTGACCTGCACTTATTTACTGAGTATGTGACAAGTTTGCTGAAAGCAGGTGGAGACCAATTGCGACAGGCTAAAAAAAAGAATAGCATGTTTTGACATGAAGTATTTTAGGGACACAGGTTTCGAAAAGCCCAATCAGAATTGAAATTTTTTTTTTTCAAATAATAAAGGTACAACATGGTGGAATAAACAGGAATCGATCAGGTTATAAACAGTATCTTCCAAATTAATTTTAGTTACATCTTCATCCAATTATGCTTTTCTAAATAGAGTCACTCAGGACAGAAGAAATTTAGAGATGCATGTTTGAACTACATGAGCACGGACCTGTTGGGCAGGATTCCAGACCGGTCAGTATCTGCCGTAGATTGTCGGGACTCAACCAAGTTCCATCTTGAGAATGTGAATGACTCACAATCTAGAGGAAAGACCAGAGTGTTTTTCTGATCTCAGCAGAAAGCAAAACATGTTCTGACAGTTCATCTAATTTTACATTACATAGAAAATGACTTTTTCTGGAAATCAATTTTCCTCCTGCAACTGCAGATGCATAATGTTTCTCTCTCATCACCTCCTGCTTCTGAAGCAGCCCATCTTGGTTCAGGTCCAATAGGCTGAAGACCTCTTCTGTGCTGAGTGAAAGCAGGGGCTGGTTTGACTCCTCTTGTTCCTGGCTGGATGCTGTTGCCTGGCTGTCCATTAAGCCCTTGAGTTGAGCCAGCTGCACCACCACACGGCACTCCTCCTCCGACAGGAAGCCAGGGATCTCTGACAGGAACATAAAGACAGTAGTAGCAGATGTTATGATCCATTGGAGCCTTTGGCACATGTGACTCCATACTGCATGAAATACCAATTTATTTCACATTATCTAATACACAAAGCCATGTGACTGTCCATTACAAACTTTATGGGAAATCTAAAATTTCCCAGCTTACAGAATGAGAATAATGTAAGCTTCTCCCCAGTCCTCACTTCCATATAGACAATTAGAATAAATCATACATATTCCTCTTTTTTATGTTCATTTTTTATATTATTTTACACCTTTTATTTTGACTCTTTGAATCTTATGTCTCTAATGATGTGTGAGTTCATTCTACATTAGGGTGATGCCAACTTTAACAACAAACTGCCTTACAGTTTTTAAAATGGATGTTTTTCAACAACAAAAGGAGGTTCCTACTTCTCCTCTTTGGCTCCTAAATATTTATTTCAGCAGGTCTACCTGTGTTTTCCCCCAAAATATGTTACACCGACAAAAAACTAAGTATTCTTAAATTAGATACAATATAAAGGCAAACATTACAAACGTGACTTCCTATAATTCATCCTTGCCTTCAGTCATTTTCCATCCTAATAAAAGGCTTCCGGCAGGTCTGGCGCTTGTACAGTAGGGGCCTTGTTTGTCACCCGTGCCTTTTACACTGCACCCTTGGTTAACCCCCAGTCCAGTCAAGCCTCATTAATTGTGACAACTGATATGAATGAAGGGGGACTGAGCCTTCCTCTTCTCCCTCCCACCGCTGTCTCTCTTTCTCCCCCGGAAAGGAAGTGACCTGCTTGTCTGAACAGGAATCAGGCCACGGCTGCACAGCAGGACAACGCCAATTTTATTTGCATCCTGCGCAAATGTTTATACAAAATGCAAAAGCATGCACTTTACTATCTGCACATGGGTCTCAGATGTTCTCTCGTTTCAGAATAATATCTGACAAACTTCTCTTGAACATTTCTTTGTGGAAAGTTACCCCCTCCTGTGGGCAGTAACAATCTCTTTACTATTAAGAACAATATCAGTTTCTAATGAGAAAGAAGTATTTATAAAAAAAAAAAAAAGGATGCATAAATAATGCATAAACAAAGACAACAGAGGGAAACAAGGTAGTTAAGTGTGGGTTGACCGAAAATGTGGGTTGGAAAGAAGTGACGAGTTTCACTACTATCAGGGTCTGCATCTGCCTTAATGTATGCAAATGCCAAATGATTAACCTGGCTCTACAATACACATTTATATCTGCTGATCCATGTAAGTGCATCCATGTTTCTCTTTTAATATGCACTCTTCTCCTTTTCCTAATTCTCTACACCACCCCTTACCCCCTTCCTGTGCAGATCTGCTCACCACCCACTATAAATACACCTATTTGGCCATCCTCTCCATCACTTTCACACAGCGATCATCAATTACTCAAAAGAGACACTTGAGGATTTCTTCTACTTTTTGCCTTCTGAGCAGAAGAGCTCCGTCCTCATTAAATATCCAGAATGTCCTCCCATTCATCCTCCCTGCTATTCATCCTTCTGCTTGCTGGGCCTATTAATCTGTTAGCGGTGAGTCCCGGGAGAGTAAGTACAGGGATGGAGGAACAAGTGAGGACAGAGGGTAAGGTTGGATCTGGGGTAAAGAACAAGGGACACAGGGCAAGTATTGTGGACAACAGTGAAACTGGATTTGGAGATACCAGTGTTTCTAAACCAAGAGTTTTTCCAGGAGGGAATAGCGAAGTTCTAGGAGAGCCTGGTATTAGTAACTTCAAGTCCACACTTTCTATCAGCGAAGATGAACTATGGGAACCCAGCAGCTCCTCTCGCTGTGTCTCTATCCCATCAGGCATGGCCCTGTGCCAAAATATTGGCTATAATACCATGAGGATGCCCAACCTGCTGGGCCACGAGACTCCTGCTGAGGCTGTGCAGCAGAGCGCCAGCTGGTTGCCACTCCTTGCCAGAGAGTGCCACCCTGATGCCCGCATCTTCCTCTGCTCTCTCTTTGCTCCCATCTGTCTTGACAGGTAAGTTTTTATGTATCTTTTGTACTAGAATTTTTTTCATATTAATCTGACTTTTTATAGGAACTGTTATATCCCATGTTTTTGTTTAGAAATGGAGTGGATAGTGTAATACTGGAGGAGTCATAATTGCTGAAAGCACAAGATAACCACAAGTAGCTACAGACTTATTAACAGAAAAAAAATTCCAAAATGCTAGGTTAATGAAAATGTTGTTTAGGAGCACAGTCATCAAGGGATAACGCTTTTGACAACTATGCAAACTGTGCAGCAGTCTCAGCGGGAAAGCCCTGATTTCACAGAGAATCCAGGCCACCAGAAAAACCCTAAATCTCCTCTTTATCACATTAGCAGTCTGTGTGCAGTCTAGGTGTGAGGAACAAAAAAACAAGGACCAAATCTCTTTTAATCAAGTGTTGTGTTGTCCAGCACTGTGGTATTGATTTCAACCCATCATCTACTAATTGCTGCCCATCTTCCCTCTCCATCTCTTCTTCATCAGATTTATCTCACCCTGCAGAAGCTTGTGTGAATCCGTACAGGACAGCTGTGCACCGATCATGAGTTGCTATGGCTACCCATGGCCCGAAATTCTGCGGTGCGACCAGTATCCCGCGGACCATCTCATGTGTATCTCGTCCATCACTAACACCACCGCTGACACAGCAGGGCGTAGAGGTGAGAAACTGGCTACGCAGACACACCTGCTGACGCTGACTTTACTCAACAAGTGATTCAATTAGTGGTTTAACTATTTCAGCACCACAGGCGAGCTGTCGGGACTGTGAGCTGGAAGAGGCCTCCTCATCAAATGATTTACTTGAGACTTTTTGTAGGAGTGATTTTGGTGAGTTTCAATAAATATTTTTTGATTTTATAATTATCACACACATGTAAGGTTTGATAAACAGTAAATGTCACTAAGGACTTGTGCTTATCTGCCATCTTCCCAGTCGTGAAACTACGACTGACAAGGCTCAAATACAGCCCAGTCAGTCTATCTCTGTTCTCACTGGCTAGTAAACTGGACGTCCTGAAGCAGGGACCCTTGCTAGGTGGTCAGCTGCGCTCACGCATCAAGCTGTGGCTGGAAAGAGATGCCACCTGCGTGAGGAACATGACACGCCAACACCCACGAGGTGGCACCTTTCTTGTGACAGGAACAGTGCACGGGGAGCGCCTGGTGGTCAACAAAGCTTTCGCCTGGCAGAAACAAGACAAGAACCTGACGGCAGCTGCACGCAAGTGGAAACAATACCGATGCAGAAACTAGGATTATATGTTTAGGTAGAAAAAGTCGAACTGAAACAAGCACTAAACAGCTGTGGTTAGGGGATAATGTTTAGAATGAAATCATAAGTCTGTAAATAAACCTTTTCTTGTTTCATTTGTTGTTTTGTTGGGTTTTTTTCCAAATCATATCCAAACTATTGGTTGAGGAAAAGTTACCAGACAGTAAGATGGTCACAACTACAGTGCTCAATCAATATCAGCACCGTGCCAGTCAGGCAGAGTAGTTCAAAGAAATAAAAGATGTTAAATAGAAAATTTACAGAGTTTTTTTTTAAGTTTCTTTATACTTGGTCTTTATTTGCAAGGCTTACCAAACAGCAATGGTTTCAGACTAAGCGTCTTCATTTCATGTGTTTTGTCTGGGACAAGAGACACCCTCTGAACATGTCCAACCTGCAGATGCACAAAACACATAATCAGAATCAGCTTTATTGGCCAAGTATACAATGGCTAACACATACAATGGTTTTTGCTATAGCACTTCCATGTCACACCAATTACTTTACATGTTTAAATACTTCAGGTTGGTCAAATGTAGTTGAAACTGTTTTAACTAGAAAGAAATGCTGACTTAACTTTACAGGAAGTAATGTATATGGGAGCAATAACCTTTGAGTCGAAATGTCAAACTATCATACCGATACAGTCCCCGTTTCTTACCCGTATTCCCTCAATGCGAGGGAGACTGAAGCTTTGACTGTAGTCCTCCACATGCAGCTCTCTGGAGGACGGGGCAGGATGGGGTAGACTCTTCCCATTATCGCTGTCAGCAGCTGAGGACCCTCCGTCTCCACTCACAAGATCCCCAGGCCCGTTGTTGTAGTGCACGTAGAGCAGCAGGGCGATAACATTTAGGATGTAAACATGAAAGAAGACCATGACCACGACGAAATAAGCCCGAGAGCAGACATTACTCCTCTGGATGTGTAGACGAGTGGAGCGAAACGGGGAATTGAAAGGTAAAGATGAAGGATCGTCATTGTCGTCAAATTCGTTCTGCTCTTTTAGATATTCCTGAGCGGCTTCCATGTTGTTATTATAATTATTATTGCACCAACTGAAAGCTGGATATAAATATGGATAACTATTGGGTAAAGTTATAGCAAAAGTCAAAAGGTTTGGTTTGTCAGATGGCTCGACGTTAGTAAACCTCAACTAGCTAGCTACCTATGTAGCAAACTCGGCAGAAAACCTCTGACCGTTTCGAGAAAAATAAACCTTGTCGTCTCTGCCGCTTTCAGTCAAAGAAGTCAGACAGCTTCGCACAAAAAAGCAGGTATGCCCACAGCCGTGTACTTTGTTTAATATATAATTCATCATTAACTGACGTAAACCTAATCCCCCTTTAGCTAACAGATGCGCTGCCCCTGACAACCTGCCTAACAACAGGACGGACAAGCCAAAGAGTCACGATGGAGCAGGTTGTCGTTTCGGAAGTCTTGGTAAATCCATAGCGGCCTCTAATGGCGCACAGCCGAACAAAAAGAGCTTGTATTTAATTATTCGTTTTAAATGATTTTCGACTTTTCTCTAAGCTTTGCTGAACTACTTTGGTGCCCGTGATTTTACTTCTTCAGGCTCCACGCAGTTTAGAGGTTTAGAGAGGAACTGCCTGGTGCAACAACTCTTAGCCTCCTAAGACCCGAACTTATCCACGACATGCATTTTTAATTTATCTTTGATATTTGGGCATATTGGGGCCCGATGAATGTAAAAACAAAGAATTACCAGATTTTTTTTTTTTACCTTATTTTTGTTTTTAAGAAAAATGAGAGCCACAAATGACAATATTCATTTAAAATTTTGATAAAACAGTAGCAGTATAATATCATCGTAAGTGGATATCAGGCCCATGTGGAGCAAAATTGAGTATTTTGGTCTAAATAACCCAAAATGTGATGTCCACATATGTGGACCGCAGGTCCTAGGAGGTTAAAGAGTGACTGCAGTAATTTTGTTAAGTTTAATACTGCCCCGTTTACGTTTTATTACCCTAAAAGCTGTAAAATGTTAATATGTAGTAGTCAAATGAGCATTCTGGGAGAAAACAAAGTGTTCCCTCTAAAGTGTATCTGAAGTAAGCTAAAATTTACTCTGCAGGTTATTTGTGTCAAACTCCTGGTAAAGTGTGTCTTGCTAAACAACAACCACATTTGTTGGACAGTTATTTTAAAGCATTATCTAACTTTGCTTTAATTTTAATTATTACTGGAACATAACTACAATTATATTAATAACCAGATGCATTATTCAAAGTCAAAAACTGCTTAAAAAGTTTTATAACTTTTTCCCCAAACAGTATTTTAATAATCATTCCTCCCATTTTGCTTCTAACATTTTTGGTTATATGAAATTCATAGATTTGATTCCATCGATTTTTGAGTATTACTCATCTATTCTATAATGTCTCTGAGGCCAGCTTAAGTAGTCTGCAAAGAGGGGAGGTTACAGAGACAGATGCAAACAAAATCAAAAGCAGCACCTGAGATATTTTGATTCTGGAAACTTTTACTGATTAGTCATGAAATAAATGCAGTCTCAGGCCATCTTTTAATTAACTATATTACACTTTAGGTAACAAAATCAATAATCACAGCTTATATTTAATATATTTATTAATTATTCATTCTCTAACACAAGCTGTGATTTGTCTTCGAATAATAATATTATGCATTCAGTCACTTATTATACAGGGAGTGCAGAATTATTAGGCAAATGAGTATTTTG